GGAGGCTTATATGCTCTCCTGCCCCCTTTGACCGTCCTGGGGATTACTTTCCCCTGGGCTTGGAGGATCGTCTCCTTAAGGAGCGACCACTCCCCTTGGACACCTGGCTCCCCTCCCCTCTGAGTCTTCAGCGCTTCTCCAACTATCTTTCTTAGCTCATTGAAGTTTGCCCTCCTAAAATCTAGGGCCACCACCTGACTGCTTGCCTTTGCCACCTTGCGTTGAATGGTGAATTCAAGCAGGCAGTGGTCACTGTCACCCAGGGGGTCAAGCACCCGCAGCCCCCTCACCAGGTCGTCGCCCATGGCCAACACCAAGTCCAACAAGGCGTCCCCCCGGATGATCACTGAAGCTGGTATACCAAGGAAAAGAGAGTTACTCCTGATTCAGACATATTTAAATGAGAAGAGATTTTGTTTCTCCACTGATAAATGTTCATGGTAACCAACATCTCTGTATATGATTGTGCATATTCTTTCAAACCAATTTTAACACTTATTTTTTCATTCAAATTCTAATCAAAACAATGGACTGAATGTAGTGCTTGTGTCACTTCAAGTCAGGTAGTATTTTTTTTCTGTTCAGATGTAACAGATGGCAAAAAATATGTTTCTTAGTCAGCTAAATGTTGTTCTACTCTAATATCAATGCATTCTCTCTGCAGCTAGTTATGGTCCATATGTGACCAACTAGAATGATAAAAGTGATCGTGATGTCCCATTTGTTTTTTATTTACTGATTTTATTCTTTTACATAATTAAAATATAGCTAATGGTTTCCACAGCTACCGTCTTTCTGGAGTTTTGGAAGAGAAGAAGAGCTGTGCTAACTTACGACTGGGACCTCATAGACTGGGAGGATGAAGAGGTATGGCAAATAAGTCTTCTAAATGGTGATCTTGTTATCCCAATTTTGTCATCAGCGTGCTTTCAGTATAAAACTATACAATAGTGCTTTATACTAAATCTGGTATAAAGCACCAGTGGTACAAGTCAATAACGCATTCTGCAAACGGTGATACAGATAAATCCAAATCCAAATAAAGCTCACTTCTGGACAAACCCTTTTTTTTTTTTTGGTATTGCAGTGGACAATGCTTTGTCCAGTGCTTCTTTTACTTAAGCATGATATTTGCCTAAAAAAATAAATAATTGTTCAAATTTAGCAGTGTATGATGAGATATAGCTATAAGGTTCTACCACAGAGTGAATTTCCTTTCTGAAAGGGATTCAAGCTATACTTGTGGCTTCATTTCCAATCCAACCTGAAGCCAAGGCTTTTTGAGACCTATAAACGTGACATTATGTCCCTCTGGAAAGATGTTCCAGCTTGATGTTATGTCCCTCTGGAAAAATCCTGTAAGTGCTTTGGCTTTTAGAGACAGAGCAACAGGGTGTTTCAGTATGCAGTAGTCAATATTCTAGCCCTACTCAGGCATCCCCTTTCCTTTCCTACGTTCCTACTCAGCCTTCAACTTCACTGAATCAGGTTGAAACCAAAACAAGCCTTTCTGCAACAGGGCCAGAGCCTAGACCAGCAATTGTCAACTGGGGTGCCTTGAGATCCTTTCAAGGACACTGCAGGATTCCACACAATGTTGGCACTGTTAGGTGTGCAAGCAGGATTCACAGGATAAACCAAGATGTTTGAAATAGGTAGCCATAGTGTCAAAAACACTCTGAACACCTGTGGTCTTTCTGCGTCCTTTGTAATGGAAGAATTGCTCTATTATTGTTCCGTAGTCAAAAAAGGAATGAAAACTGGCATTGTCTGAGGAGTTTCTCAAGTCTTATGAGTGATGCCTCAAGTCTAAAAATGTTGAGAACCACTGGCCTAGACCGTCAACCAATCTTAAAGGGCCAGAACATTCTGTAACAGTCCTGTCACCAACACTACCAATTGCCAGATGGCTTCACCCATATGCACAGCTCAGAAAGTTTGCTCCTGAAATCACAGCTGAAGTTGTGTAAAGTATAATTTTAAGCCATTTTCTTTAGGTTAGTGATTCAAGTTTGTTCCAAATCAGTAGAGACCTAGTCATCATTATTTCCTCATTCTTCAACAGTCTGTTAAAAATGAGTTGTTGTCTGTTCATGAATAGATTCTGTATCTCAAAAAGCCCACTGCAAATGGTGCCAATTTAAAATTCTCTTACCACCTCAGCAAAGAAACCTGTGATTGACTCAACAGGGTGACCTACAATCTCTATAGCACTTTGGTAGGTGGCTATGGGGAAAATTTGTCCTACTGCTATTAGTTCAGTTCCTGGTCTGTTGATCAATCTAATAACTTAGGTCTCCAAGGGACAGCTTTGATGACAGTTATTATTTGACACTTGGTATGAAGCAGTTTGGGCAGAGAGGAGTCATGGAAATGCAAATTGTTAATACTATGTACCATAATCCTTCTAATCATCTGATGCTTTCCTACATAAACTGAAGCAAATATATGTCATTACAGGAAGAGCTACGCCCACAGTTTGAAGCAAAATATTCCCAAGTGGAGCGAGTAAATCCCATCACAGGAAAACCAGAACCTTTCCAACCATTCCCTGATAAACTTAGTCGACTGATGGTGTCTGTCTCAGGAATATTCTTCATGGTAGCATCTAATACTATTGCAAAGTCATTCTAGGCCTTATTCTGGTATCATCCCAATGTAAATCATATGCACTTCCACTAGAATTAATAGCTACAGCTGCATAATAAGTGAAATAAGATCAAATCCAGTGCTTGTTCCTGGGGGTTTGGGGTTTTTTTTGTTTTGGGGAGGGGGGATTGGAGGAGGGCAGGGAGAGGAGGTTCTGTGCAGCATATTATTTCAGCAGTTCAGAATTCCAGTTCTCACATATAACTGCTCTCTGAAACAAACTGGATTTTTCTTAAAGTGTTCACTAATCAGTCAGTTTTCTTTGGGAGTTGATTAAAATGTAAATTTTTTTGGTTTGTTTTTGTTTTCATTCTAATTAGGTGTACCTTTATCTCACTGCAGATTTCTTTGGTACTCACTGCAGTGTTCGCAGTTGTGGTGTATCGACTGGTAGCTATGGAACAGTTTGCATCTTTCCAGTGGCATTTCATCAAAAAGTACTGGCAATTTGCAACATCTGGCACTGGAGTCTGTATCAATTTTATGATCATCATGTCACTTAATGTTGTAAGTTTTAAAACTATCTTTTAAGAATGTATTTACTTGGCATATTGCAGTATTTGACACCAGCAAAACAGGTCCATTCCAAATAGCTGATTTGTAAGAGCTTTTTCTTTAAAATGCACTCCATTCTTTTAGATGGAAATTGGCTGTATCTTGTTTTTGTTTATTTTTCTTACAGTAATATTCAGAAGTAGATTTGATACACCTTTTGTTCTTTGGCAGTGTGGTGTGCCAATTTTTTTAACTGTGTGTAATTCCTTGCTACTAATATGTAATAGCACCACTCATAGTCATAGTGGCCAGAGAACCATTTTTCCATTGATAAAATCCACTACCATCCAGTTTGAAAGAGCAGCACCACTGTCAGCCAATAGGGAACTGTGAAGAAGAAGTATGTGCCCATTGGGGGACTTAATAATAGTGGTTTCCCAGAAATTGCAGACATTTCACAAAGCACTCTGTACTTTCTTCTGTGACTTTCTGCACTCTAAATGGAATATTTTCTTCCAAGCTAAGAATTCTGAAACCTCCTACAAATTTGAAGGGTTCTTAATGATGACATCTAGATTCTCTTGTTTCTAATCTATAGCTCAATAATGTTAGTTTTCAATAATTTAAGATCCTTGAGACATTCTGGTAAATAGTTTCACTTTAACCACTTCTCTATTAAAATGCAGCTTTAGTGTACATCCAGCTGTTATATTCAATTGGCCTAACCAGGGTTAGGTCAATGTAAATACCCAATTGTGCAGGCATTCAGAGGGGTTAAATCAGGCAAAAAATAGTGTGCCTGATATAAGTTAGTTTGCCTGAGTAGGTGTCCTAACTTAGATTGAGGTGAGGTTTAAGGCTGTGCAAAGCTTCGGGTGCTGATTTGATTTGGAAGAGATTTGGCCTGATTTGGTAGCTGAATCTCTGAATCTGAATCAAATCAGGAGACAAATAAAAAGGTCCTAATTGATTTGGAGCTCTCCAAATTGATTTTAAAAAAATTCAGAGAGCTTTGGAGAGATTTGGGCAGTCCCTCCTTGCCACTAAAGGGAGGTGGACTCAGACTCCATGCCGGTAAGTAGGGGGCAAGGGAGGGAGGGCCACTGGAGGGGGGGAGGGGACCATGGGGGAACCCCACCAGGCCCCATCTCCTGCCTGCTCCCCCAGCCCCCCTGGGTGCCCCTGACCTAATCTCCCAGCCCCATTAATGGCTGCCTCACCCAACGCCAGCATCCCAGCTCTTTAAAAAAAAAAAAAAAAAGCCCTGCACTCACCAGTTCCTGCCAGGTTGTGGTCGGAGGCGGTGATCAGCACTGCCCCCCACTGCCCTGTGCTGCATGGGGCCCTGCCATGAGCCCCTATCCCCTGCCTGTTCTTCCAGCCCTGTCAAAGTCTGCCCTGCCTGAGCCCAAACGTCCCAGTACTTTAAAAAAAAAAAAAAAGTCCTGCACTCACCAGCTGCTGCAGCAGCCATCAGGGCTTCTGGGGGCTTGTAGCAGACTCCCCACATGCAGCATGGGGCAGTGGGGGGCATCAGGGATTGCTCCCTCCCACACCTGGTAGGAGCCGATGAGTGTGGGATGCTTTTTTTTTTTTTTTTTTTTTTTTTAAAGAGCTGGAACACTGGGGCCATGCAGGGCAGCCATTGGTGGGGCTGGAAGAGCGGGTGGTGGATAGGGCCTGTTTGATTCAGAGATTTGGCCGAAATAATTCAGGACAGTGATTTGAATCACCTAATAGAATCACTGTCCCCCAAATCAGCCAAATCCAAATCAAGTAACTAGCTGCTTCACAGGTCTATTGGGGTTAACCCAATATAGGAAAAGGTTAACCTGATCTTGCAGATATTTGAACATGCTTGCACTGCAGTCCCAAGGCTGGGAATACTCAGTTGCTTGCCTCAGCTCTGTGGCTGCACTAATCCCACCCCACTCACCGTCCCCTTCCTCCCACCCAACTGGGTTATTTTTAGCCCCTCTAACCTCTTTTTCCCTCATGCAGACCAGCTAGACTCCACAGACACCTACTCACCCTTCCCCAACCCTGAGTTACTAAGATCAGTAAGTGGTGAATGCCTGTACATGCTAGTACTGAGAGCAGCAGACTGAGGTACACACTTGCACCATGTCTAGGTATAGGCAGCTTAAAGTAAACTGTAAAGCCTGGGTGCAGCAAATGCTTATTTGCATCCTTAGGGCACATCAGAAGAGTTCACACAGATGTATTGAATTCTTGGTAGACTATGGAGATGAATTTTTTATGACTTATAAAGCCAGTCACCAAGCGAGTTCTAAATTGCAAATAGATTATGGGGATTCTCTTGGATAAAATGTATTTTCATTTTTATTTGGCAAGACAGTTTAATACTTGTTCACCCTTTCAACATTAATGTTATGTGTGTTATTTAATGGATATGATATTGAATGATAAAAATATTTTTGTTTATGTTATTTCTTATTTATATTTCAGGTATATGAAAAAGTTGCTTATCTTCTAACAGATTTAGGTAGGTTCATCATTAACTTTGCCATTCCACACAACTTATAGTACTTGCATTTAATTAAAAATAGTTTAAAGATATGTTAACCTGTACAGTCACCTGGTAATATTTCACAGACCTTTCATTGCCTAGCAAATTGAGACCTTCTTTATTATGTATTAAGAAGAGCAAAGGGAAGGAAGAGAAAATAATTCATCAGTAATGCCAGATCTGGAGACTGTCAAGCCCTGGGGAGGTCTAGATCAAAGATGAGCTGTGCAGCTGTGTCTCCTTGCTAGAAGACAAAATCATCATGATCAATTTGAATGGATTCTGTTTATTCAAGGAATCCCACTGAATTGGGTGAAACTCCTTGTGGGTGCAGGAATTCATCCCCCCACATTGAATTTCACATTAAAAGTCTTAAAGTTCTTTGGTAGACAAGTAATTAATTTTAACCAACTACAGCAGATTTAGCATTTTGTTCCCTGGAATAAATTCTTTTCAATTATTTACTGTTTTCAATGAGAACTAAAACAGGAAAACTCCATGCCTTTTTTGTATTCAAGGTCACTGATGGAAAAAAAAAGGACTGGTGTATTGGGTCTTGATTACATGTATCTGTTGTTTTCAATTAGTGAATAAATACTGTCTGCACTTTCTTAGACATACCTTCTAATAAGAGTGCTTGAGAGCCAGATTTTTAGTTTATGAGAAAAGCTGAAAAATATCAGTATCAGAGACTGAATTGGAATTCAGTCTGAATTTCCAAAAAAAAACTTTAAAAAATTGTTTGAAATTTTTGTCATAAATGTCAAAGTATCACATTCGGAAAATATTGCAGTGGAAACTTCCATCTTTAAAGTGCTGTGTTTTTTCTAAACAAAAGTCTATCAAAATAGATCCATTCTCATTGAAATATTTGGTTTCGATGAACTGGCATTTCCCGAAGGAAAAATGTTGAGTCAGAAAAAATTCAGCCAGCTCTAACTCTCCCTTATTCAACTATTTACACCTAAGTCACTTGTCATAATTCAATCCTACAAGTGAGCAGAGAGGATGCCTTTTTAAATATATAATTTAAACCAGATTCAAAACAGAACATGAAATATTCATGCAGCAGGAGATTTTATTTTTAATATTTTGTATTATATTTTCTCTCCAATTTAATATGATTTTGCTGGTCACATTGTTAACAAAAATTAGAATCTAAATTTAACAGCTCCCCCTTCTGGTGATAAGATTTTTGTGCATGCAATAATATTCAATAAATTGTGTTTATCTATACATTCCCCTGACAGTAGGAGCTAAAGGTTTGGTGTTCACATTTGACAGTAGTACTTCTTATAACACTTCTTGTTAAATATAAAGTTAAAAACACCCATGGTATGTTGATAACCATCTTGGGTTTATCCAAGTTATTAAGATATTTCAGTAGAGTCTTGTGCCAATTTAAACTCAGATTTTCTTTTTATAAATATTTCAATCTAAGCATTCCTTGGAGACTGCAAGGAAATAAAAAATAATAATAAAAGAAAACTTTACATATGTATTGCAGAGCTGAATTTCCTTAGTTCATGAAAACACCTTTTTGATATCTTGGCAGTTCTGATGCAAACAGTATAGCTTTCACGACCTTCCCCCTCTGGGTTCCCTGCATGCTGGATCCAGCACCTGCTTCAGCTGGTCTGGGACCCAGCTGCCTGCAGAGCCTGCACTGAAGCAGCTGGAGTAGGTGCTACATGTAGCTTATGTCCTAGACCAGCCAGACTGGGCGCCATATGCAGGTGTGGAGGTGGGAGGTTTGTGGGCCTGATTTGGCTGGTCATCTGGCCTGTGGACCAGTTCCATGCCACTTTTGACATGCCTGGTGTGCTGTATCCAAAAAGAAGACTTTGAATGATTTCAAAATGTTCATGAAAAAAATGGTATGTGGTGAATTTAATAAATATAATAAAGCCATCCCCCCACCCCCAACTCTGAAATCAGCAGCTCTGTTGCAGACAGAAGTGGGGCAGGACAGCATGATAGCTCTGCTGTTACTATTTAGGAAGCTAAGAGAGCCAACGGCCCATTGTTCTTCACTTTACAGGTGTTAACAATCATCTCCCCCTTTTCATGGTTGTTCCACTAATCCAGATAACCTATTTTAGGGCAACTTTGCTGCCTGCTAGGGCTTCCTATTTTACAGTACCTGCTGTTTTGCCTCCTGGACTCTTACCCTGCACCCAAGACCCTCATTTTAATTTTCAGCAGCTGGCCAGGACTAGCCTCTAAAATTTAGGACTGTCCTGGCCAAACCAGGATGTATGATCATCCTTGTTTAGAGTAATGTGAAAAGAGTGGGAGTGAGGAATTAAATACAACAGGGGTAATCAACCCACAGCCTAGACCTGCCCCACAAAGCCAAGCTATCCAGCCCACAGCACTTCCCACAGGTTTGAAAAGTTGATGGCACAGGAGCAGTGGCAGCAATTGTTGCTGTCTTGCCACCAAATTTCCAGACCTGTGGGAAACCCCAAAAGCTAAATAGCATGCTAGATTGCTGTGTAGAGGTGGTCTGGGACTGATCTGGATACACCAAGCCCAACTCAAGCTGCTGTGGGGCCCAATCCTATAGCACAAGTCCCTGATCTGGCTCTGCCAGCCTAGTCTGCAGGCTTGGATGCAGCCTGCAGACCTGGCCCCATGCCACTCATCTGGCCCATGGTACTAAAAGGTTGAGCACCACTGAAATAGAAAATGTGTTGTTCTAATTTGCATATTTACCTTTTCATCAAAAAAATGTATAGGACCAAGTTATTTCTCATGCTTGTAGGACATGCACATAGAAGTGGTCTTGAGGAAAGGGCATAAAGAATTTTAGCATGAAGATGTTTATGTGAGAAGCCAATTGAAAAAGAGCAGTTATGATTACCTGCTGCTCCTCTGTTCTGCCACTGTCCTTCTCTATTTTACCACCATGTATTAATAGGGCTAAGCTCTGTCATGAATATTGGTGGGAAGAGTCAAACATCCCATCATAGTACTAAATTCAAGAGTCAATGCAACTTCAGAAAGAGTCCATTTACAATTCAGTTTCCATCTTTTGCCCATGCATGGTACAAAACGGATCATATCTGGAAGTTTGAGGCACTCCAATTGCATACTCTCCTGAAAAAAAGGAAACCTTTATGTGAAGGGCACATCTGATGAAGTAGGTTATTGCCTACGGAAGGTCATGCCTCTTTGAGCCAGTCTCTAACATGCTCCATTACTCTAATTTCTGTAGGAGGGGTTTAATAGATTTGAAGTACAGCATTTTATCTGGGAACTGTAAGATGGCAGCAAATTGATTTTTATTTCTGAATGTGTCATATGTGTTGTCACTCCCTCCAGAGCATCCTAGAACAGATTCTGAATGGGAAAACAGTTTTGCCTTGAAAATGTTCCTCTTCCAGTTTGTCAATTTAAACAGCTCTATCTTCTATATTGCTTTTTTCCTTGGCAGGTAAGTTATTTATGGCCATTAAGATAAATAGTAGGGGAGTAATGAATATAGAATCCTTGGCATTAGATATTTCCTTGTGGTAACACAATAAGTTCTTTGAGATCTCAGATGCAATAAAGTTCCTGGAGTGAAATCTGAACTCAACATTTTCAAATATACGAAAAAATAAAGCCCCTAGAATCTCTGCTCAAGAAACAACATAGAAAAAAAAGTCTGATTTTGTTATTTAGATGCTGCATACCATTTACTGTTGACAATGATAGTGATTATGAGCACTCAACACCTCTGAAAATAGTCATTCAGTGGTACCTAGGCACAGAATTCTCTAATGTTCTGGTCAGGTATTTGAAAAGCGCAAAATAGTTCTTTATCCCTTTTTGTTCATATATCATTCAGTGGTTATCTTTCCTGGAAAACTAGTATAGTCTACTGCCTGGTAGTTTTCATCCAGGAATTGGAATCTGGCCCTTGGGATTCTATATCTGTAAGGCCTGTATTCACTTCAGATTTGGTTTATTCAGGGGACAGAAATTCAATTTGGTGATTCTAATCACTGTCCCGAATCAATTTGGCCAAATCTGATTCAGAGGTTTGGCCACTGCCGAATTGGCTGAATATCCAAATCAGATAGGCCCCATCCCCTGCCCACTCTCCCAGCCCCATCAATGGCTGCCCCACCTGGCCCCAGCATCGGCTCTTTAAAAAAAAGAAGCCCTAAACTTACCAGCTCCTGCCAGACGGGGGGGCAATCCCTGTTGCCCCCCGTTGCCCCCTGCTGCCCTGCACAGCATGGGGGGCTCTGCCACAAACCCCCAGAGGCCCCAACGGCCACTGCAACATCCAGTGATTGTGTGGGGTTTTTTTGTTAGTTTTTTTTAAAGAACCGGGAGCTGGGTCCAGGTGGGGCACCTATGGGAGGGGCTGGGAGACTGGGCAGGAGAGCAGGGGATGGGGGCTTTATTTATTTATTTATTTATTTTAAGAGCCAGGAGTTGGGGCCGGGTGGGGCAGCCATGGGGGGCAGTCAGGAGGCACCCAGAGAGGCTGGGGGAGCAGGCAGGGGATGGGGCCTGGCAGCGGTTCCCCCATGGTCCCCCCCCATTCCTCCAGTCCCCCTTCCTCACCCCCTACTTACCAGCACAGAGTCTGGGTCCAGCTCCCTGCAGCAGCAAGCTGGGACTGCTCAAATCTCCAAAGCTCTTCGGAGAGCTTCGAATCAATTCAGACCTTTTTATTGGTCTCCTGATTCTATTCAGTTTTGGCAATTTGGCTGTTGAATCAGGCCAAATCTCCTCTGAATTGAATTGGCACCCAAAGCTTCGCGCAGCCCGAATATCTATGCCTATAACTAATTCCTTATGTGTGAACGTGGACAAACCTGTTAACCAGGCTTCAGGTCACCATCTTTAAATTGGATCTGAGAATACTTGCCAACCTTACAAGAATATTGGAGATACTAATTAATATCTATAAAGTATTTTCAGTTACTTGTTTGAAACAATTGACTGTAAGGATGCAGCTTCAATTAAAGATTAAACATAAAGAAAATCTTTTACTATTATAGAATTATCCCATTTCATTGCTCATGCACTAAACATATTGAAAACTGTAGGATCTATGGCAATCCTTTTTAGCTGTATCAGACACACGCGTGCTGTCTCATCTCTACACATTTGGGGTGAGACATAGAGCCTACGCCATATTTTGGGACTCTTGGGAGGTCTACTCCCAAATATGCCTAGGCTTTAGTTCTGCACATTATGCAGTGCACCTGAAAAATGTGAACCTTCGTCATGGCTTGGATTTTGAAACACATTTTCTCCCCCTCTCCCCACTAGAAGTAGAAGCTGTTTGGATCCCAGAATTTAGTGAGGAACTTTTATTGGAGTGTCATAGCAAGCAAGCTATTTCAATGAATATGCAGCAGTTTCAATAATTCCAAAGAGCCTTGACATTTTCCCTAAGAAATAAATCTTATTTTTACAGATTTGCAGGCCGTCCAGGAAAGTACAACAAACTTTTTAACAGATGGAGACTAGAAGAGGTAAACAATCCCATTTTTCTGCCTCTGAACTTTTCATGTGCAGAAAGAAAACAATGAAATGTTTAGAAGTAATCCGTTACAACTCTGAAAGATTTATTCTTCAATTGAAGAGTGGTGAGAAGAGATAAACCTTTGTTTATAGCAAAAGATGGGGAAACAGGACATACAGTTTCCTTTCTGAACTCAAAGCTATGCAGAGTAACTTTGGATGTAGCACTTACCTCTCTGTATATCAACTTCCCTATTTGTGAAGACATACATTAGTAGTTTCCTTTCTTCTGGGTACATTAAGAGTCATAAATCATTCTTATCTGTGATGCATTTTGAGATTCTTGAATGGAAGGCACAAAGGAAATGCAGCCCGTTTTTTGTTAATAGATTTCTAAATTTGCCCCAAAACGAAACTATTCTTTTAAACAATGTTTATCAAGCTTCAAAGTTCAAAGTACAGCTTATAAACCTTCTAAACAACTTCATGGATTTCAGTGAGGTCTGCGGTTACCATGACTTCTTTTTTTTAAAGTGCTTAAATGCAGTTTTTAGGAGCTGAACATTAGTGACCCAGGTCTGAAAAGTTGGCTTCAGTGCAGACAGTGTAACTCAATTAAAATGCATATTTTGGCCAACTGACTAGCTTAAGGCAGTCATAGTGGACTGAGCTAAATAAATGTCTGCCTCTCAGTCACTGATATAAATGCATGTTATCCTGTCAAAGACTGTGTAGTGCTCCATTCTTCTGAATGTTTATTGCTCCATATGAAATGAATTGATGGCATTGTATAAAAGACAAGCATCTGTACCACAACTGTCAACCTTTTTGGCAACTTATCTCAAAAAAAAATCAATGGGTATGGAGATATATCCATTCTATCACCTTTAGGATATGTTTGATTATATCAGGAGTACAATAACAGAAGAAATGGCTTAGCTTATGCTGCCATCCAACTGTGGTTAGTTGAATTCTAGGGATTTGTTAATCTGTTACTTTTCAAAAACATTAACATTTATTCTAAAGTTTTGTAAGTAAACCAAAAGAAAATCGTGCATCATAGTAAACTACAAAAACAGGAGCAGTTTGCCCTTGAAGTCAGTGGACAGAAGCTCAACAGAGTCAACCCTAAGAACTGAAGTAGTTCCCACACATGCAGATTGTACATATACAAATAAAGGAATGCTTTAACATATGCAACAAGCAACCTGTTTTTGTCCCCCTGTAGTGTCATCCTAGTGGTTGCTTGATTGACCTGTGCTTGCAAATGGGAGTTATCATGGTTTTAAAACAAATGTGGAACAACTTCATGGAACTAGGCTACCCGTAAGTATAGTTGTTGGTTCGAAGCACATGAAAATGTGATCATGACCTAAGCAAGAGCAGAGAAAAACAAGAAATGCCATTTTGCTTAGGTGTGAGTGAGTGATTACTTAACTGTAAGTCTTCACGAAAATAAGCAGGCCAACATTGGCCCTAGAACCCATGAAATACATGTGCCTGAAAACAGGCTCATGTTATAATCTTTGGAATTTATTTTTGCAGACTAGTCTGTGGCTTTTTAATATGTTATGCCAAGCAGCGAAGTCTTGCTCTAAGCAGCACAAAAGTGCAGTTTGGGAAAAATATAATAAAAGCCTGTGCCTTCCCCTGAAGGATAGATGCTATATTAAAGGAAAGAAAAATATAAATGGCCTAGTCTCTCTACAATAACTATTTCAAGGAGACCATCCTTCTGTGAAGAATTTTCCTCTTTCACTGTACCTCCGCATCATATGCTGTGAGTTTGTTATTCCCCAGTGTAACATTAACAGCCACTCAGCAATAAGCTTTTTTAGGTTATTTTTATCCATCTGAAGTCTTTTACATTATTTAATTATCCTTCGCACATAATTTAAGCAGTGCAATTAGGCCAAAATTTTATACATCCCTCTTTAGGGAACTAGAAAAGTTGTCATGTTATTTTCTATAAAAGAAAAAACTTTATCAAAGGATAACTTAGAGTTCTAGCCTTGAAACTGTCCAAGAGTCTTTGTTTAGTATGTTTTAGCAACCTGATGAAAATGTGGAAGCCACAGCATTGCTACTAAACATGAAAAACTGCATTAAAAAAAGATACACAAGGTATTAGACTTCCTATGTTCCAACCCAACAGTATCTTAATGTCTTTATCTACTAAGTATTTTAAAACAAGCTTCCTCCCTTCTCTGTTTATTTTTACACAAAGCAGTCATTTGATCATGAAGAAAAAAACAAATATTTGCATGTAACACAATTGGGCAACTGAAGAGTAAAGAAGCAAACAGTCAACTGAATTTGGAAAAGAATAATGGAAGATTAACAAACCTATGAAAGAGCACTTTCCAGCATCAGTCTGTTTTTGATTAAATGTAGATTTTTCCTACCTGATGTACATGTACAAGAATCATATAACTGGAAAAAAAGAGAATCGTCCCTGATTTTCTCCACATTCACTGAATATTACCACTGTTAGAATAACACTTAGCACTTACATAACACTTTCAATCTGTGAAGCATTCTGTAGTTATTAATATTCAAGTTTCCCTAGTGAGAGGACTTCTGCATGGCAACATGAAGACAGATCGCACTCCTTCCTTATATTTACAGTTTCAGCAAAACCTTCTGCAGCACAGACTCTTCCTGAAGGAAAAAATTATTCTTTGAAGTGATTCTATGCTTGTATTTTTCTTAGGAAACAAGATATGCTATTCTGTGCAACTCTAGTGATGTTAAATAATTCCTTAGATTGTGTTTATTAAGAATAAAATAGTAAATGCTACACTTGATCTTCGCACCACCTCAGTAGCAAAAAGTTTTGTTTTGTTTCCTTTGTTTTTCTTTCCCTTTTCTTTTTCCTTTCCTTTTTCATAGATTTCATAGACATTAGGGCTGGAAGGTACCTCGTAAGATCATTGGGTCCAGGCCCCTGCCCAAGGGGCAGGAAGTCAGGGTTAAAGGATCCCAGCAAGATAAGCATCCAGATGTTTCTCAAAAATTCTTTAAAAATGTTTCCTTTCTTTTCCCTTTTGTTCTCCTGTGTGCAAGACACTTCTATAGGACATTTATGCAAATTCCATATTCTAAGAAGCCAGTATAAGGCCTAATGCTCCACATAATGCTTTAATAATCCTTTAATGTAAAGCAGGATCCCTTAATGTAAAACAAGTTTCTTGAATGTCATCATCAAGAATATAGTGAAATAATCTTTAGAAAGCATCCCAGTAGGCATGCATTCTTCAGTAGCTGGAACAGTTCAAAATATGATTTCAAGGTCAGTATAGGATGACACAAGCAAACACTGAAAATTCTTGATCAGGCATTACTAATATCATCACAAGCTTTATAATCTGATTGTTTTACAAAGGTTACTACAGAACTGGTGGTCACGACGCAAGATCAAGAGAGGAGGGCAATTTCTGGAGCATAAAATTTCTCTACCTCAGTGGGAGAAAGATTGGAATCTGCAGCCCATGAATCTCCATGGATTAATGGACGAGTACTTAGAGATGGGTGAGGACATTTAGAAGTTTCTCAAGGAAATCAGAAACACCATTTGTTTCAAAAGTTTTATTTTTAAGACCATTTTTTATGTCCATTTTCTGATAATATGACCACTTTCTAGTTTTACAGTTTGGCTTTACCACCATCTTTGTTGCTGCTTTTCCCCTGGCACCTCTTCTGGCACTGCTTAACAACATTATAGAAATAAGACTTGATGCATACAAGTTTGTTACACAATGGAGGAGACCTATGCCTGCAAGAGCAACAGATATAGGTAAGAGGACTGGGGATACTTCAGTCTCATTTGTATAGAATGTGGCCTATAGCACAAATCCAATTCGGACACAGCCTGTGATCTCAGATATCTTGAGAACCTTAGCTGAATACTAAGCTGAACATGACTCAAGGATTGTTTCTCAGGAAGTAACAATCATAGGTTTAGAAGGGACTTCAAGGATATTTTAGTATAACCTCCTTCACAGAGGCAGGATTTGCTGTTTCTAAACTACCCCACACAAGAAAAAGAATATAAAGAGGATGTAATTTAATTATGTACTATGATGATGAATAGGACAACTTAGAAACATATAAAATGGCCTTATTATTTTGTTTTGATTCTTTTTTAGGCATCTGGTATGGAATCCTTGAAGGAATTGGAGTTCTGGCTGTCATCACCAATGCCTTTGTTATTGCTATTACTTCTGATTATATTCCACGTTTTGTCTATGCATACAAGTATGGCCCTTGTGCAGACCAAGGATACACACAGGAAAAGTAATTAAGACTTTTTATACTTTTTTTAATGACACTTTAACATTTATTGGAAGTGCATTTCCACCACTCTTCATCCTGTACTTGTCATATTTGATCAGTTATATGTCATCTGTTACATTGGTGCAAATTTGACTATATCAAAATGCCAGAAATTAAAATTTTGTTTTCTAGCATAGTTTTCTAGTATATAGCAATATATAAGATTTAATTATATACCATATTATGTATTATAATAGTGTACATTTTATGTAATTATATCATCTATATATCATTCTAATCATATGTGTGTGTGATTCTAATCATATTATAAATCATTCTAATCAGCTTCCACCAAGCTGTCTACTTCAAATAATGATTTTTATTTAAAATCCTAGCACCAAAGTGAAATGTGACAACTGTAGCTTAGTCATGAACTAAGGCAATGGGAAACTGAGAAACATGCAAGCATGTTTAATGTCCTAATGCAGGGGTTTTCAATTTGGGGTATGTGTACCCCTGGGGATACTTTGGAAGGCCCCAGGGGGTACACGGCAGCAGCATGGACAAGCCACAGGCACTTCCAGTTTCGCTGCCCTCTTCCCTCACACTCATTGACCAGCCACCAGGGGTACCCCAACCAAAAAAGGTTGAAAACCCCTGTCGTAATGTATGCTAGAATTCAAGAAAATACTATACAAAAATTACTTATGGCTCATATTATATATCTAAGTTTTATGGCAAGGCATTTTACTACATCTTTCAACATGCAATATTAATTTGTGCAATTACATTAATTGTGTAATCTTGTAAACTTTTTCTTATTTTATTAACATGGGTCCATGCAAACCACTCTAAGGTTTCATTTAGTAACAATATTATTTCTGCTGTTGGGATTTTCTCTTTTGTGTTCAGTTTTGTTTTATCCCATCCCTGACTCATGGCAAAAAGCGAATTAAGTTGTTAATTGGACCTAGCACCTTTCCACTGATCAGAGTGGTTGTGGTCTTTGCCTCAAGCATTCATTAAAATCACTACTAGTTTGAAAGTTATTTTGGGTGGGAGCAAAAACAAAAAGCTAGTTTTATGCCGTGTCAAAGTTCCAGCTGATAGTTTGTTTTAGTGTTATTTGGCTTTACAGATACACATTCACTAAGTGCTTTTTCAGAACCCAAATTTGTAAATACATATTAGTATTTTATTATGTCTTATTTCCTGTTTTATGATTTAGCCTGCAGCTCTAAATGTGGTTGTCATTGGGTGTAACAGCAGTAATAAATCCAATCTTGCTCCTGGAATAAGACCTCATGTTTTAACGCTGTAGGTCTCTCTCTCCTTCTTGGTGGGCAAAACTTTCTCTCCTCCTTTACAGTGAATTTTTTGGCTTTTCCATCACTCAAAGGATGCAGAGGATCAGACTGTGGTCTCACTAGGTTTGATAAACCTCATAAATTGTATGTGGAATAGGTGCTTCTGGTGATGATAGCATACTCACTTCTTGTTTAATGTGACTTCTCACAAGTGAACAAGAATATATCTTGCCAATAGTCACATCACTCACTTTCTAGTCCATCACCAAAAAATAGTTTATTTTAATGGTTAAAGTTTGCTTATTTAAAAATTATTCTTGCTTTAAAAAGGGGGGGAAATAACTGCTGATCAGGACAGACAGTACTTCTATATTCTTTCCTTGTTCTGAAGATACCATTAATATGTATTTCCTCTTCTCACATAATCATGTGCCACACCCAACCCATGCTGAATTTAGTAGGAATTTTTTCTGTAATCTACACTGGGAGCTGAATCATGCTTCACTGAAAATGTACCTTGGTTTGATTAATTTATGCAATATCCTTAGGCAGGAGGAGGAGGAGGCAAAAGGCATTGCTTTGTAACAGGTGTCTTTTTCAGAACAACAAACTGATTTTCTGTGAGGATGACCACAAACTTTAAGCTTATAGGAATTATGATGATAATATCTGATATGTGCATTGCAATGTCCTGGAAAAGTAGAATTTTGCCTATGAGTCTTTGAAAAAAATGACTTATAGTTCAGATGATAGCTCAGGAAGTATGACTATATAAAAACCATGCTTTAAACTGGAGGGTAGATCTTCAGAATTATGAACTGGACTGGATCATAAGTCGTTATGTATATATGGGCCTTGTCATAAATTATCAAACTATGTTACCATCAGTATGAAATTAATTGCTAGTCTCCATTGTATTTGTTGTAGCTATTAGGCCAGAAGAGTCACAGTCTCTTTGACTTGATTGGCAGTACTGCTGAGAAACTCTGCAAAAAGATTAAATTATACTCTCTGCAAGGAGATTCAGTTTAGATGCTTGGCCAAGGTGCTGTGCAGAACTTTGCTTTGCTACTGTCTGTCCTGTATGGATGGATAAACAATGAAATTCAGCATCCAACTCCCTTGGGCATGAAAAGCTAATCTTAAAAAAAGTGTGCATGAAATTTTATCCTTGGAACAATGACTTAATGTGATTCATTCAGTTGTAATCTTATGTACCTCTGAAATTTTAAGAATGTTTTGCTCTGATCAACCACTGGCAGGCAAAATGATTTTCTGGGTGTACAATAATACTGCACATGCCTGAGTCATGGCAGAAGGGGAATGAAGCATGTTTTCTGTACTTTATCATAGGTAATCATTGTATGAAACACATACTGATAGTGTGGTGTCTTTTTTCCAGATGTTTAAAGGGATATGTAAATAGTAGTTTATCGGTATTTGATTTGAATGAACTTGAAATGGGATACTCAGGATATTGCAGGTATGTGATTGGAGGGAACCCTCTTTATTACTGTGTTGGGCTGTTCTTGATTCTTTAAGAATATCTGATTATAAACTGACAGTCTCTAGCACATAATTAAGATACTCTCAAAGTTTTGTTATGTTTTTTAAAGGAAACCATATTTGTTAGCATTTGCTTATGAGCTGTTTATATACAATTTTAACCTCCTATATGGCAGGGCAGTGTGCTCAAGTGAATGAGAACACTGAACAGAGAGTTGGAAGATCTGGACATTTTCTGTGCCTCTATGACTTAGTTTATACCTCTGTAAAATGAAGAGGGTAGTGACTTCTTCATTTGTAAATTCCTTTGAAAGCTATAGTTGCAAAGTGCTATGTTAAGAACATTGTTGTTGTCATTGTTAAGTTTCTAGGTTAAATCCAGTCCCAAGTCCTGTGGTTAGTGGCAGCAATGCATGAAGAATGAGTACAGGGTATGCAGTAGAAATGAACAATAAAGTCTGAAGAAGACAAATTTGGTTTTAACTGAATAAAGCTGTGAATGCTTTTGCTACCGAACTGTGCAAGAGAAACTCTTCTGGTTCAACTGTCACTTGACACTTAGGCTAGTTTAGAAGTTTTGGACTTGAACAAAATAAAGCTAGCCTTAGTTTCGAACATTCTCTGGGGTTACTTTATCAGTGAAATTCTTTTAAATGAACTGCTGTGTTAATCACTGCATTGTTCAGTACTCATACCCTATGTCAATTATTTTCCTCCATTTCTATTTAATTGATTTTGAAGTAGGCATATAGTTATTGTACATCCTCAAGCCTTGTTATTTAGACTGAAATGTTGTTCCTTATTATTCAGTCATATTTTAAACTCTTCTCCCTTGCCTGCCATTTTGGTTTCCCTTCTTCTGGGGGTTTACCTCTCTTGTGTTATATTGTGCAGGATTTTGGAACAATCTTATCAGTGACTTTTCTTTCTTTCTTTCTGTTACAGGTATCGGGATTACCGAGCACCACCATGGAGTTCAAGCCCTTATGAATTCACCTTGCAGTTCTGGCATGTCCTTGCTGCACGACTGGCTTTCATCATAGTATTTGAGGTTAGTCATGGATTAGTAGAGAAATGCTACTTTTCTACCAGCTTAAAGGTATCCTATGTCGGGTCAATGAATAAAGTAAAGTCTAGACAAGGTGCTTATGCTTTAAGCTCTGTGAAGAAAAAAGAAAAGCTGGAAAATGCCAAATCTGGAAAAAGATGGAATAAATTGTATATTATTCATTAACATCAATTTGTTAGTATCTCTGTAGCAAAATGAAGGTGCAACATGTACACACATTCCTAGTTTTTATTCTAGAGAATTCATATTTGTCCTTATCTTTAGCATTCTACTAGGCTTTTCATGTGAAAGGTTCTCTGAAAATATTCACTGCAGTCTGTAGTTAGAGAATCCTGGTTTTGCTTGAGTAACCAACTTCAGGGTCATCATGATTTGGCCTTGAAGAGACAACTTAAGCATCCTTGAATGAATTATTTTTGTCCTTGTTTTCAGCACCTTGTTTTTGGAATAAAGTCTTTCATTGCCTACCTGATCCCAGACATGCCCAAAGACTTGTGTGACAGAATGAGAAGAGAGAAGTACTTAGTCCAGGAAATGATGTACGAGGCTGAATTAGAGCATTTGCAAAGGGAGAGGAAAAAGAACGGGAAACAGTATCACCATGAATGGCCTTAGCTGATACCATGCAGCAGCAAAAACATTATATGGAAACTGACTAATGCAGGTCTAAAATGAAGAAAGGATCAGGCAATAAGGGTCAAAATTCATAATGTGTACATATACTGCTGCTGGGATATATATCTGCAGGCTTTACTAGCAACTGGAAAATACATGCTTCCAATGAAGAAAATGGATAGCCATATGAATCAATTGGTCTATGGTCAATATCAGGGAGTCGCTATTGGCTCGAGTGAAAGTACAATGAAAGATTGAGCATGTTGGACACACCAATAAAAAAAAGTTACAATTCTATTTTTCATGCTATTAATCAAGATATCCACTATGTAATGAAAATAGTCATTGTCTATAAAACTTTTACAGTAACAGCATGATGAAAAAAGAAATCACATTATATCCACAACTTCTACAGCTTTTGATTGCTCAGTTTAATTTGCCATGCTTCTGAAAAAGAAGTGTTGCCTATGTGGCCATAACTTGATATAAACTTGATATAAATCCTTCAGGCTTATTGTTTTGTCAGGTTTGTCCTAGTCTCTTGCTGAGATTGTGGATGTTTTCCTGCCCTAAAAAGGTGGGTATGAGGCTATTTAATATTTACTATGCAGTTCAAGTTTTGCACATCATTTTGCAGGAATCGTCTGTCTTTATAAATAAAACCAAAAATTCTAAATTCAAAAAATAACCCATTCATTGACAAATGCACTGCATTGCCCATGTTTCAGCTTCGTTTGGAAATAAATGTGGCTATTTGAAGTCTTTCCATTTTGATATGCAAAAAAGTACCATCTCTGCATACTTCCAAAATAAATGAGCGATCATTTTCATGCTATAATGTAGCATGCAGATATATAATTGTGTCACTATTACTTTCTGTTTGATCTACCTGGACAGTAATTCTATGACTTCACAAAATGTTGACTTGAAGTGTCCTATTGCAGTGGAAATATTTTTTTTCAAGTATACACTTAACTATTTACAGTATGCAAACTTATGCAGCTATATCAGCTATTCAGTATAACATTGTGTCTTGCTTGTCCAGGGGAAGAAAAACAGAGCACTTTATAACAGTGCTGTCTCTGTTCCAGTAATGTGCACTCCTCATCTTGGGCTAAATAAATCTAAGCATGGAAATAGGATATCTATATATTAGTGTTAGAATTAGATCTTTTTTATGCTTTCTAAAGATGGAAAAAAATTGCAAAACCAACAAAGAGAAAAAAAAACAAATGTTCTCATACAGAATTGAACTCCAATTCTCACTTGCATATGGGATAGGGCAGTCTTACTTATGGTTATAATTAAGGTTACTTTAATGTGGAAATTTGTGTTTTATTATGAACATTTCATAATATGTGAAAAAAGAAGCACTAAACTAAAACAAGTGTGCAGGATTCATTTGTGAGAGAGTGGACAGGACCAAAACCATCTAGTTTCTTTTTTTACAGTTTTAAAGCATAGTTATTATTTATGTCAGAGGAAAAGAATTAAAACTCAAAGAAAATTTGTTTCGGTTTTAAGATTCATGCTAATATGCAAGAAAGCACAGTAACTATAGCAAATACAAACTCTACCATTAACCTTAAGGATAAAGCTGCAAATTGCTCATTAAGTACAGACGTGAAGAGTTGAAATTTCCTTTCTCAGAATACCTTATTTCGCTTGAGTGAATGATTCCAGAATTTGTTTGCACAAATTCATCTTATGTTATTCCAAGTATCACTGAAAGAGGGAAAATGTGTATTTGAAAATTATTTTAATAGTTCAAAGTCCATTGAAATTGTTGAAAGGACCCTTTTTGTTTTCAATGGGTACACACTGCGTTCTCTGTTAATGAGAAATTACAGCTTTTTTTACTGCATTGTATGGGTTTCCATAACAATGCATGGCAGGCTGGAGTGGAGGGGACAGGTATAAACATTTATTAGCCAATAGTTGTATTTTACTAGGCCCATTCAACTCAGACTCTCCTGTGCTTCCATTTAAGTGGAAGGATTCCTTTGTATTCTGTTTACACTGTTTTCTCAATCCCATAGCATTCCTAATATGAAATCCTTAATGCACTTCTGTCCAGTGCTTAAGATATCTGTATTATATGATTTAATGTGTTAAATATCCATTTTGTATTGTAGAGTAGAGCATCCCTAACCCCATTTAGTTTTAACTATTAACTAGTATGAAGTCATTTTGTGCACTATTTGTAAAATATAACTCTTTTCTTAAGGTCACAAATAAGTTCACTTTTAATGTCTCATGTAAATGCAAAACGCCCTGGCTGGATCAAGGCAGAAAGATTTGGCATAAATTTAGCCAAAATTAGAAATAATGATTAATATTTTTGCTTATGTTTTCTTCAGTTTGTTGTTGATATGAGCACATACTGATTTGCATCTAGAAGAATTCTGATTGGGCATGGCAGATAAATATTGTCTTGGATTTGAAGATATATATGAACCTTTTGTGACATCTTTAAACCTGGAAATAACAAGTACAGCAAAGTGGGTTATATAGATCTAGCATTCGGTTAATTTTATGCACTGGGAAAGCACAAGCATGCCCACTATATTGTGTGCCTCTCTGTTCTTTTCTCTCTATAGTTTATCTAAAATGTCACATGGCTTTACCAGTATATAGCCATTTGCTTTAGCTAAGAATAACTTTCTGCTAGTTTTCATTTAGTGTGGTGTTTGTATTGAATGCAGATTATCTTACAAAGATATACAGCACACTCTGTCCTCAGGAATTAGCTACTTCATGAATGTTGGTTGTCTATATTTTCATATTCTAAATATTTGTCTTTCCAAACAGACAAATAGTATAAATGGGTTGTGCATGAAAGCTATATTTGTGAATTCTCCAAAGCCGCAGAGCTTCAGAAGGTAGCATCTGTACAAAAGTGCTTTAGATCAATGCTGATCTAGTCTGTAACAGCTTTGGTCTATGCATGTACCTTTAGAGAGGCTGCATGGGCAGATATAATACCGCTTTTTTAAATACTACAAATAATTACCAGTCCAAAATTTCTTAATTATTTTTCTCTGAACACCAGTGTCTTGATATAATCAAAAGGAACTTTCATTCCAAAAATAAAAAAATGCATCTACTATTTACCATTCTTATTTTACTACATTTTTAAATTTGTGCCTAATGTGTGAGGTCAGAATTTGGTGATTTGAAAAAGAAAAACAATTATTTTTACAGAGCTCGATTCAAGAGTCCTGTTATATCAGCCTCAAAATTACATAGCTCCTTCTTCTGCTGAAAAAGAATGAATCACTATAGGGAATGTCCTATACATATCACTGTATAGGGAGTGACAGTCCACTGTGGCCTGTCAAATTGGCTTTAGATTGTGAATGTCCATCAAAAGGCTAATATGGTGACTGCTATATTTAGGCATTCTGTGAAAGTGCTCAGATTAGCAAACAGGGCACACATTTCCCCATTTCCACACCCAAATATCATTCAAGACTTGGAACAAATTTTGCAAGTGATCTTAAGGCTCAAGTTTCCATGAAGATAATGAACTGTAATAGCTCTTCCTTAGAAATATAGTGTTTCGTTATTATATAAAGAACCCAAATAATGTGCATTTCAAAAGATGGATCCCTAGAGGCTTCTTCTAAGGAATGCTCTGTAGAAAGAAAATTAGCTTGGGAACCATGGTGTTACAGCTACTGTTGGTTTTTCCATTTGTCTTTGTAATATTTTGCTCTTACTTGTTGGTTCACCCTAAGTAACTAAAATAATGTAAGTTATTACAAGTAATCTTCATTGGGGGATTTTCACATTTTGACTTGTTCCACTGTAAACTACAAAAGTTTGTATTAACTGAGAGAATTTATGGGGTAATCTTCAATATGGAATACATTGTCGTTGATCTATTCTTGCTTATATTGTTTTATGAAATTAGTTCTTTTAAATTATCATAATCTAGTTCATTCAATGGGACATATACATTAACAGTTCTTATTTCTCAGTTGAAATGTCTCTTACGAAAAGAAAAGACAATATTATATGGCTACTCTGATGTAGATAATTTCAGTTTAGCTTCAATTTATTTGCTAAACCATTGTAAACTAGCTCTCTGAAATTTGGTGAGCTACAGCTTTATAAAACTACATGTAACATAAATAATTAAATTGGAAACTTAATGATATGACTAAGTGGGTTCTGTATTAAATCTCATATAAGTAGGGACCTATCAAAATCATGATTTCATGGATTTTGCTCTAAATGCCAAATCCAATATTGCCTGCAAAAGCAGACAATGTCCACGAAATCCACAAAAAAAAAATTACTGGAAGTAAAATGCTGGCTCCCCAGAGGGGTGCGTGATGGGCAGCCTTTGCAATCAATCAATATGGAGGGGCGGAACACGGGGGGCCCTCGGCCAATCAGAGGCATGAGGGGGAGGCAGCCACAGTAGGCCCTCAAAAATGGCAGCCAGCCCTGAAATCTGCCTGAGAAATCAAACAGCTGCCTCCTCAAGTTGATTCCTACATATAAAAAGAATGAGATAAAGATACGAATAGATGAAAGTGCAGCCTAGTTTGGTTTACAGATTCACCTAAAATTCCAAATAAAACAGTATAATATGCCAAAGGACATCTTTCCTTTTGATAAAATTATCACATGAGACAGAGAAGATCATTCAGGACAAAGATCTGAAATTTTTACAGTCCCCATGTCTTAATAATGTTTACATAATTTACTTCTGAGCCTAAAAATTACAGGGAGTTTTGTATCAAAGCAGACTATTATACTCGGAGAAACGAAATACTTTTGTCTGTTACATCACATAGCATGGCTAGTTTAGCTAGAAATAGCCTGTAAAAGGTTACATTTTCAAAACCACATAAAAAAAACTTAGGGACCTAAGCCCCATTTAAAGTCACTTAAGCAGTTTAAAAACACCTTTGGTTCTTCCCATACTCTACCTATGTAGTTAAATATTTTACAGTGTTGGAAAGTAACAATCCAAAGCTGCAGCAATTCACTTACCAAGCAATATGGATCTCCCACTGGCCTGAGTGTGTGTTGGTTTGGACTCTGTATCAGGGGTGGGCAAAATGCAGCCTGGGGGCCGGAAACAGCCCTCTATGCCATTCTGTCCGGCCTGCAGGGCGCCTAAAAAATGTAGAAAATTAATATTTATCTGCCCCTGGCTGCCTATCATGCAGCCCTCAATGGCTTGCCAAACTCAGTAAGCGTCCCTCCGCCCAAAATAATTGCCCACCCTTGCTCTATATCATGCTGTTTCCTTTCCTTTTGTGGTTCACTGTAGACTCTGGGCAAATGTTTAGTGTGAGCCATGTCCTCAGCCTCATCTGGATGGCTGAGGACATTTGATAAGATATAGTATCTTTCATCTTTAGGTAACTAAGCAGATCCAACATAGGTGTTATCCAATGAAGCCTTCTCAGTAACTTTTGTGAGTCAAGTCCACTCTCCAGAAAAATGACTTATCACAAAGGTGTGAGACAGTGCTGTGCCATGGATACCCTGTTCTAGCTCTGGAACTGGAAGCAGCTGAGGGAATTAAATCAGATTCAGTGCCTGAAGGAAATACCAGGAGTGGCATTCAAGTGTGGACCTACTGGTAATGGTTCAGCGCTAGCTTGTGCAGAACTAGTGTTCTTTTTTTTTTACCCCGTAAAGTAGTATCCAAAAGGAGGAAAAAGTGTCCACCAGAAAAGGTTCCCTTGTTATCATTCACATCAGAGAAGCCATAGTAGTGAAAAAGCAAAACTACTGAACTGTCTCATGTTTCTTCCATGTCAGGATGCACTTTGAAGGAGTAGTGTAGGGAAGCATGCACTGCTGCTATCTGTACTGTTAGAAAAGTAGTCTCTAGAATTGCCTATGCAGTGCTAAATTCTCTCTCACTCGCATGCAGTTTAATCACTCTTAAACTACTGTATTTGTAGGGGTCCTTGCCCTTCTGTATAATTGTAGCATATAAAACTCAACTTTATTGGCCTCATTTTGAAATGATCATAGTGATTTTGATTTATACTGAAAACGTCATTCTATTGACATTGTAAATTTATTTCCTACCAATTTCTATTGGCATGGTGTGGCATTACCATGGCATGACAGCACAACTTGGCAATGACAGCACAACTTCATCATGATAGCACAGTAATGGAGTGCATAGGAATCATTTTGCTATTTCCTATTATAGAGGTAATTTTTAATGCAGCATGGTAATTTAACTATGAAATGTTAAGTATTCATATAACTGAAGCTGTCTGCACTGCATTGAAAAATGTACCCTATGATATCTTCATTGGTTTACAGTAACTTTTTCTCATAGCCTTTGTATGGTAATATTTACTCCATGGTTTTTCATTGATATTGCCATGAATTTATGAAGATGCCAATTGATAAGAAATTGGCATTGAACCCAATGCAGTCTAAAGAAGAGAAAATTTTGACTTCTGAGAATATGATAATTGCTCTTTTAAAAAATGGGGAAAAAAGAAAAAAATTCAATTTTTTTAATTTTGTGTTTGACTTAGATTACTCTGAATTTTGTATTTGTACAATCTGCCAAACTGTTTATTCTGATTTCTACCTAGGTTAGTGTCACTGAAATTTCAGTTGTTTGAAGAGAATCTTGTGTAGAAAATAAAATCTTAGTAAATAACATAGTTACCGGTAAATCATTTTTACTCTAATAGTCCTGGCTGACTTGCAATATCATGATCATAAAAGATTTCTAAATAAATATGTGTATATATTTGAAATTTATGTAATATTTAAATACAACTTGCTTTCTAAGTAAAGAATTAGAATGAAATTTCCTCTATTTTTTCTATTTACAAATCCAAACTTTGTAAGTACTATTTAAAATAAAATTGCAATAATTACCACAAAATGTTTTTAAAAAATTGACTTTCAAGTACTACATG